GCGCTTTTCTTTAGTTCTCGAACCAGAAGGTCAAATTCTGGCAGTTGGTCTTTCGGGGGCTGTAGACGCTCGCAACAGTGGGTCTCCTTTGCGATTTCCTTTCCGGTATTACTTCTATCATGGTGTGCTCGATATGTGTATTGACTGGTTCTAATTACTGTACCGCGAGAGTCTTTCTTGTAGTGATTGCAGTACGCTTTGTTCGAACGTGAACGTTCTATACTTGTAGCCGCACAATATGTGTATTTGTTTTTTGCAGTGCTATGAGGTCGGGTGGGTCTTGCTTGACAAATTCTTGCAAAGTAGCCAAACGTGGACGGTAGAAACGACCGTTCCATTGCCAGATGTGGAGAGTTGAGAGCGTGTTCGTTGTCTTCTTGTTAGGGACTGCCATCTTCACTCTGTTCAGGTCCCCGATGGCGCTCGCGCGTAGGTGAAACTGAACGAGAAGCATTTCGGCCTTTTGCTTGTGCCCACTTCCTGTCAGGATGAACGTCGCGTAGTGAAGTATCGAGGTGCTCTTTGGTGGCGTAGGTCTTCTTCACGTACGCTATGATGTTGTTCAGCTGCGCAGCAAGTCCGTCCACTTTGGCGTCAAACTTGGTAATCTTGTTGTTTATGCTTATGGCGAAATGCGCTATTGCTGTCTGTACAATATCTTCTACGGTAGTGTAAATGCTTCTCATTAAACTTTCTTGTAAGGTCTGGAATCGGGCGTCGACACTAGATTCCACGTTTGTGGAGGGAATGAGGGCACCCGGTTGTCCATCATGTTTTCGGATGATCTTACATTTCTGAGAAAGCTTGTCTATGAGGGTCTTTTGCTCATCACATTTTTAAGAAGCTTGTTCATACTGTCTTGCTGTTTCTGGTGGCTATGTACCAGCTTGTCGATAATGGCTTGTTGACTGTAGTTGACTGGCTTGATGCTGTAATGCACTTCGTATGATTGTGCACCCTATCTTGGAGCGATCGTTAGGCTTCGTTGTCAAGTGAAGAAGACACGCACTTGCTTGTTGCTGCGAAGCTCCTCGAACCACTTGCTGTGGTAGCATAGCTCACTCTTTTGGGCAAGTGCGAGCATGAGCGGGATCGAGATAGAGATCGTGAGCTTCGTTGAAATATGGGCCGTGATCAACCTTGTGCAGGAGTGATGCTAGCGCTGCTGCTCAAATTGGTCGTTTGGTTTCCTAGGTCGGGGAAGTCGTCATCCCCCGGGCCCTACGGGCCCTGAGGGTATTCTAATAAATAAATAAAAATATTGTGGCAGTCTCGTGCTTTAAGCGAGTCCATTCCTGGCTGTAGGATTTTGAATGGTGGCGGATTGGGTTTAAGCCTTTTCTTGCAATCCTTGCTTGCAGTTTCATGCCCCTCTCCGCGTATCTTACAGACGGGTTTTCGCGCATGGTTTGATGGTTGGTTGGCCTTGCCACATTTAGAGCAAAAATCTTGAAGTGGTCGGGGGCAGACATCCTGACGCTGTCCCGAGTTGCCGCCGGTCTTGCATTATTGCACCGATTTTTGATAAAGTCTGCATCGAAACTCGAAACTGTAGAAACAGATGTAATAAGGAACATGCGGCCCTTGGAAAAAGATCACTGCAGCGGACGATTGCCCAAGCGTACGGGCGTGGAGAATCGTGTACCGCGCTGGTGCGCGAAGGCCGGCTTTCAGTTCGGTTCCGTCTTGCCGGGCAGACGTCCGCTAAAGACGCCGCGAGAGATGTCGTCCGCCGTTCTCGTTTTGCCAATTATGGTGAAGAAATTGCCACCAAGTTGTATGCTGGTGATGCCTTCAAGTTTTTTCACATCTTCCCAATCTGACGCGCTTCCTATAATCAGGTTTTCTTGGCGTTGCACTGGCACGTACACTATCTCAGCAAAATATTGCTGTGATAGACCGCTGGCCCTTCCGATGGCTTGCATGATAGCGATATTGTTCCACTTTGCTAACTCGAGGCCTGCTTGTGGGCGGTAGACCATTTTGTAGTCGTCAAACGGTAGGGGTGGCATCTTAGGCTTGCGACGGTGCGACTGGTGTTGCTGCGTTGTCGTTTCTTCATTGCGAAGTTTCCCTTCTGGCGTCATGTTTTCCCCGGGATCTTTTTTGCCTTTTCTTGTTCTCGTGACCCAAACGCTTTCACGTTCAATTGTTCTCCGACTGCTCTCGTCATATCGCCAAGAAATCTCTGCGTTCCGCCTTTCGGTCACGTTCAAATGCATGGCGTTCGTATCATCGTCCAGCTGATCACTGTGTATTTCGGTTGTTTTTTTCTTCCTGGCTCATCTTGAAAACTGAATGTCGCAGAAACTGGCGCCGGTGTAATGCTCCTAGAAGCACTTGAGCGTCGCCAGCACGCGCCACGCGCTAACGGCACGTCTCTCGTTCTGTGTTAGGCTTAGCCGGGCGGGTGTGGCCTCGCGAAAATAAAGGCATCAGGGACTCACTTGGCGGTGGCTAGTGACCGCCAATCGCTGACATCTTGCCTGTAACGCGGATGCCAAAATGAGCGTGGTGGTGAGCCGTGATGCTAGTTGAAAAGCCAGGAAAGCAGAAGCCCATGTGAAGCCAGTCAGCAATTCACACCCCCCTAGCGGCGAAAATATCCTTCAGTTTTTCTCAATTTTCCCGCTTGTTGAAGGTCAGTTTACACCATTATTGACGTGAATAAGATTGTCATAGGATAATCTGCATTGCAGCTCTACTTCACGTATATCTCTAGTTTTATTCTGCACGAGGCCTACCGCTGGAGACACGGGCGCAGCAGTCGGCATGTTGCGACATTACGATCACGTGACGCCACCTTGCTTCTCGAACATTACTCTGAAAAGGGGCAGCCGACGGCCCGAGTGTGTTTCTTCTCCTAAAATTACACATTTCATTTCAAGCTAGTTAGTTGTGTCTTGTGTCTTTCCGTCCTCGTCAATACGCCATGTTTCCACATCGTTTTTTTTCTTATGGTTTTCCCCTTCAATCAGTCTCGCAACCAATTCTTGAGCACTGGCATCTAGTTTAGTTTATTGATATGTGGGATTTAACGTCCCGAAACCACGGTATGATTATGAGAGACGCCGTAGTGGAGGGCTCCAGAAATTTCGACCAACTGGGGTTCTTTAACGTGCACCCAAATCTGAGCACATGGGCCTGCACAACTTCCTCCTCCATCAGAAATGCAGCCGCTGTAGCCGAGATTCAATCCCGCGACCTGCGGGTCAGCACTGCAGCCGAGTACCTTTGCCACTAGACGACCATGGTGGGGCGCAATGGCATCTCGAAAGGAGCGCTTGTAAAGCGGGACCAACGTTTCAGGTGTAGCTGTGTTCCACAATTACAGCATCGTGAATTCAAAAGAGCAGGGTGTGCTTTTACATTTACAAGCTTAATTCAACGATAACAAACCTCGTGACGCGTGGCTCATAAAATTAGCTTAGAAGGAGCAACGAACCAAAGTCTCACACCCGTTTGCTGCAAGCACTTCCGAGATGACGACTTTGTGTGCGGACTAGCAACACAAATGTTAATTTGGTGAGCGATATTCAGTTAACACGCGAGACCTATCTAATCACGTGAAGACATAAATACATTGAAGTCATCCTAAAATTACTTCAGAGACGTCATCTTTCAAGTCAACTTCGTCGTAAGTACGCTGATTGAGGAAAATGTCTTACAATACAAGAAGGAAAAAAGAGTAAAAGAAAAGGGGTCATGACACGACGATTATCTTCGGGTATTCACTTAAACCTTTTTTTTTTGAAAGGTAAACGCAGGAAAAGAGAGTTGCCACTTTTAGAAGAGCCACGGAACTCTCGCTAAGTGCGTTTCAATTAGCTCCCGTGTCGAAGGCACCACCGTGTACATCATACACGTCACGTTTTTGCCGTTAGGCGTCGTTAGGGCTGGTTCACCTGCTCACCCCGGCACCTTGGCGCAGGCATGTACATATTCCTGAATGCTTGGCTGTATAATGTAGGTATTGAGAATTTTGCTTGATATTGGGCTAAAGTAATAAACATTGGCGATATATTTTAGGTGCAAGGCAGCTCTTTGACTAGCTTGTGTAACGCTGTCCCTCCGTGCATTCGTACAAATTCGTCCCAACGCACTCCCCTTGCTGAGGGTGTTGGAGCGGTGTCAAGTAGGCCACCCTACAGCTGCGCGTTCACGTCATGCTCCCCTCGCAGTGCGCGCTGACGTCGCTTTCCCTCACCTGCCACGCGCTTGCCACAGCACCTGCAGCTACGGCCTCGTCCGTTCGCTAGCAACACCTACCACTACCTCCACTCGCTCCGTTACCACGATCGCCGCTCGCTACACCTTGATCCACTTCGAGGTCGAATCTCTGCAGGAATCTCTAAGCGAGTACTTAACCGACCGCGAGGCTATGGTACCCAAGGCGGCACGAGTGCCAGCTCCTTTCCAGCGTCTGTGTAAACTCTGAATAAACGGCAAGACAGACGCCAGCCATCGCTTCAAACAAATCTTCCAGCACTCACCGCAGCACCCATGTAAGGGCCGTTCAACGCGTGACGCCACCTGTGCGCAACGTTGCTGCTTCGCATCCCATCAGGGTCCCTTTCGAAATATGGTGTGAATTTGTTTTCTTTAACGTTTCTGTATGACTCTGTGGTAAGAGTTGTGTGCGCCCCTCATCGTACAAGGCATGCCTTATGCCTTTCTCATATACCAGTGTCTTCTTTCTCACTTTCACATTTATATTTATAGCATTTGGCGATGCTCGAATCATGTAAATAAGAATCAGTCATATCACTGCATATAATGCAAGAACATTCTAGGAAAACCAATAAGGTATGCTGTTTGGTGTTTCATCATGGACGTCGCTTCTCCGAAAATTCAGCGCCAGAATTAAGCAGACACGTGTTTCTGTGGCATAATTAAGGGCACGAGAAATTAAGGTACACGCAATTTTTTTATCATTTAGAGCTCATTGCCTCTTTCCCCTATTGCTAACGCCTATGTTTCTTCTCTTCCCACATTTTCAGGCTATAATCTTCACTGAAGATAGCAAAAGAGAAACTAATAGCGGACCTGGAAGGCTTTGCTACACTTTCGGCAGTGGCAGCAATATTCTGACAAATAAAAAGAAACAACTGTTTTGTACATTGTCCAAAAAAGGAACATCTTCGCTGATATGCCTATACAATTGCTTATACAATATCCACATGACTGTTTGGGTGGAGAACGTTGTCTGCGCTGCACAAGAAAGCCCAGTCTTCACACGCTTCCACGTAATTGCTCTTTGGGCCCGTCTAATAGTAGTGCCGACACTTCTGTAGCCAGTGATTATCAAACAAGCCTGTGTCAATATCCTCTGCTCATAAACCGGTGCAGCCTCCGCCTCATCATCTTCTGAACCAGTGTGATACTGCTGCGTTTTGTTGAATGCTTCCGATTGGGCACCTCGATGTGCTCCTCCGGTACAGCGTGGACACACTTCTTTTCTAAGCACCATTGAGGTTCAAATGTTTCCGTTCGCTAGAATTGCCTGCAATGCACCAATGGATCACTTTCAGTGAAATGCACGGTGATTTGGCTCGTTTATGAATTTTGACGGTGGGGCTTGCTCATGAAATGTTAGTAATTATAGTGGACGCTGAGTGCTATGTTGATCCCCTAATGACCTGGAAGGCTTTGCTACACTTTCAGCAGTGGCAGCAATATTCTGACAAATAAAAAGAAACAACTGTTTTGTACATTGTCCAAAAAAAGAACATCTTTGCTGATATGCCTATACAATTGCTTATACAATATCCACATGACTGTTTGGGTGGAGAACGTTGTCTGCGCTGCACAAGAAAGCCCAGTCTTCACACGCTTCCACGTAATTGCTCTTTGGGCCCGTCTAATTGTAGTGCCGACACTTCTGTAGCCAGTGATTATCAAACAAGCCTGTGTCAATATCCTCTGCTCATAAACCGGTGCAGCCTCCGCCTCATCATCTTCTGAACCAGTGTGATACTGCTGCGTTTTGTTGAATGCTTCCGATTGGGCACCTCGATGTGCTCCTCCGGTACAGCGTGGACACACTTCTTTTCTAAGCACCATTGAGGTTCAAATGTTTCCGTTCGCTAGAATTGCCTGCAATGCACCAATGGATCACTTTCAGTGAAATGCACGGTGATTTGGCTCGTTTATGAATTTTGACGGTGGGGCTTGCTCATGAAATGTTAGTAATTATAGTGGACGCTGAGTGCTATGTTGATCCCCTAATGAATGGCGCTGAAAGCATGCGCGCGCCACCTCACGTGAAGAACATCCATGGTGTTGGAGGTGGGTGTCTAACGCGGAGTTATGGGTGAGACAACCAGTACAGACGCCGGGTCTTCCCAGCTCATAGGCGAGACAACCGGCACAGACACGGGGGCTTTCCAGTTCACCCTCTTTCACGTCAGTACGCCGGGACTTCACCCTCCATCGCCTTTCAACTTTGGGGATTGGACAACTCTGGAGGATGGACAACATGGATAACGAGGTACGAAGATTACGCATTCGCGGCCGGAATCAACACAGCTACCGACGAGGTGCAGGTGCGAACTCTACCATAGGAAGTGCAGGAACTATACAAGGTTCCGCGATATCTCGTATGTTATTCAACTTAGCTCTCCTCGATTTGCCGTCAAAACTGCCCATGATTCCCAGCTTTCATCACAGCATATATGCTGACGATATTACCCTCTGGATATGTGATAGCAGCAATGGCTCTATACAAGAACGGCTACAAGAAGCGGTAAACGTAGTGGAACAATACCTACGCGGAACAATGCTTTCGTGTTCGGCGGAGAAGTCCGAACTCCTCTTATACCACCCCAAACTCGGAGGCAGACCACCCAAACAATTTATTCCAAATATCTCATACACAGACATTACCCTGAAGACAGCTGATGGACGTGTCCTACCGACAGTCGATTAAATACGGGTTTTAGGACTTTTGGTTGAAAGCAAAGGCACAAATAGTGAGACAATCCGCAAATTAGAAGCCAAAGTTGCGCAAACGATGCAACACATTAAAAAATACGTAATGAACTACAGGGCATGATGGAATGTAGTATTCTCCGGCTTATTCATACCTTCGTACTCAGCTACATTACTTATGTCGCTGCCTACCTTCGATGGTTCGCGGCGGAAAGAGCTAAACTCAATGCACTCATCAGACGAGTTTACAAACAGGCGCTAGGGCTTCGGCAAAGTACCAGCACGGAAATGCTTCTTAAACTAGGCCTTCATAACGCGGTTGAAGAAATAATTGAAGCGCAACAGATCTCGCAGTACGAGCGCTTGAGCAATACGAAAGCAGGTCGCCAAATTCTCAACAGTCTCGGCATTTCTTACCACACACACAGCAAGGTATGAAATGCAGCATACCACGCAAAATCCGCACTAAACTCATGATACCACCATTGCCAAAAAGAATGCACCCTGATCAAAACAAAGGTAGAAGAATAAGTAGAGCCACAGTTATGCTCCGAACTTATGGAAGCAATAAGGAGGTGGTCTTCGTCGATGCAACGCGCTATCGAAACTATCACCGTTTTGTTTCTGCGGTTGTAGACCATACACACAAATGCATAACCAGCGCTTCAATCAATACAAAGCACGTGGATACAGCAGAGGAGGTCGCTATAACGCTCGCCATAGCTCACATCGATGCCCAGTATATTATCAGTGATTCAAAAACAGCAGTCCGAAATTTCGCAAATAGTAGGATTTCTCCAGTGGCGCTGAAAGTCCTTAGAAAAGGCTAAACCCGCTCTGGTGCATTGCATCAGAGCGGGTTTAGCCTGGTGCATACGAACTCTCTTGTGGAGGAGTGGGACGGGGTGGATAGACCTACTGAATTCAACATTATCCAACAATATAGGCTTCAACGACGGGAATACTCCCCGCCTCACCCCAAGCTCAACCGGGCCCAGTCCGTTCAATGGCGGCCATTACAGACAGGCACCTACACTAATCCCGTAATTATGAAACACATATACCCCGATTGTATATGACCAATTCGTGCAAGTATTGTAGTAATAGGGCCGCATTAGCGAATATTCGCTGGGAGTGTCCAGCACTAATTGGCAAAACGAGAGACGTGGCCTCCAATGAGGACCTACGGAGGCGTTCGCGGACCGCGCTGCTCAGCTCGGGACTAGATAATCAACTCTGGGCGATCCAACAGGCCGAAGAAGCTGCTGAGAGACATGGTCTTTCAACCAGCTCCTATGTGGGAACCCAGCCCGGTAACCTGCAGGAAGTGAATAAAGTTGTTCACTCAGTCACTCACTCACTCACTTGATGCAAGGTCCAGCTTCCACCAAATCAAACTAACTTGTGAGAGCGAAGAACTGACGACATTCATCACACCTTTTGGCCACTATTGCTACAAGCGCCTTTCCTTTGGTATTACGACAGCACCCGAATATTTTCAGCGCTTCATGTAGAAACTGCTCGAAGGCATCACTGGAGTCTTCAACATGGTAGACGACATACTCGTTTTTGGTAGAAACCTTCAAGAGCACGACCAGCGTCTAGCTGACGTCTTGGCGCGTTTAACTCAAGCGGGCGTAACTCTTAACGAAAAGAAGTGTCAGTTCCGAGACTCTTCTGCCAAGTTCTTTAGAGTTGTCGTAAGCGATCAAGGAATTAGTCCGGACCCAGACAAAGTCAAGGCAACAATGGATCTCCCTTCACCAATCGATGTTAGTGGTGTTTGCCGATTACTTTGAATGGTAAACCATGTGGCTCGATTCATTCCAAACCTGTCTGAGATCTCCACACCTATTCGTGCACTCTTCAACAAGAACAACGCTTGGAGCTGGAGTTACAATTAAGAGCAAGCGTTCAAGAAGATAAATACTTTGCTCAGCTCCGACACATGCATGGCTATGTACAATCCCCATTACCCCACTATAGTATCGGCTGACGCAAGTTCACATGGCCTTGGCGCCTTTTTACTCCAAGATCAACCGTCAGGAATTCGACGTGCAGTTGCCTATACCTCCAGCCATCTCACTATTACAGAAAGATGCTACAGTCAAACGAAAAAGGAGTCTCTTGCGGTCACATGGGCTGTCACCAGGCTTCACCAGTACCTACGTGGACTCAGCTTTGAGATCAAATTCGATCACTTTCTCCTTGTAGCTCTCCTGTCAAGCAAATATCTAAACGTCTTGCCACCTCGAGTTCAACGTATGTGAATCAAACTGATGCGCTATCAGTTCTCCGTCAAGTATGTTCTTGGAAAACTGCTAGCCACAACCGACACACTATCAAGAGCATCCTGGCACTTGCCAACTTCCAAAGCAGTCAGCCACTTGGAAGTCTCTAGAGGGGAATTCTCAAGGATCTACCTCAACAACTGGCAAATCAGCTGGACGAGATCCGTCGTCTTCAAGCTCAAGATGGCGAGTATTCTTCTACTATGACTTATTGTGAAAAAAGGCTGGCCGTCCAAGAAGAGAGTTTCGACCCATTTAGCACCATATTGGAAGGAACGAGAAAGACTGAGTGTGAAAGATGGGTTACTCTTACTGGATCACCGCATTGTCATCCCGTCAGCTCAACGCAAGGACGTTCTCGCACTGCTGCATGAAGGGCATCAAGGTGTCCGCCGCTGTCAAGAGCGCGCCCGCGAGTGTTCTTGGTGGCCTCATTGCAACTAGCATATCGAGGACCTTGTGGCTTAATGTGCTAAGTGTGCTGAGACCCGAGCCTTGCGTTCTGAGCCACTGACACAGACGTCAACAACAGAACAACGACCATGGCAACGTCTGGGAATCGACTTGTTTCACTTGAAGGAAGCGACTACATCCTCATCGTGGACTACTACTCCCGATTTCCAAAAGTAGTCACACTCGAAACTTCGTCAGTAAAAGTGGTGGTTGCTGCATTCAAGAGTTGTTTTGCTCATTTTGGAATACCAAACATTGTGCGGACAGACAATAGACCTCAATTCTCTTCCAAGGAGTTCGCCGACTTTGAAACGACGTATCAATTCTGCCACAAGACCAGCAGCTCCCGATACCCTCAGAGTAATGTAGAGGCAGAGCGCACGGTGCGTACAGTGAAAGATTTGCTGAAGAAAAGCCCAGATTCGTACCTCGCTCTACTCGCG